TTCTCCTTGGCGGCCAACTTCTGCTGCATGATGCTCCTCTGCCGCACCTCTTCGCGCGCGTGCCGGTCGGCCAGGTTGAGCGCCTCGGAGAACTGGGCAAAGCCGTCGTTGATGTGGACGTCCTGCAGGCCCCTGCCATCGGCGGCAAGGCGCTTGTCGAGCGGGATGGTGTAGCCCTTGTTGTTCTTCCAGTTCGAAATGTCCGGTGGGATGTTCCACTCCTTGAGCTCCTCGGCCGTCACCTTGCGCGGCGGCGAGCGCAGGACGGGCGGCGGCGGGCTGGGCGGCCCAAAGTCCTGCCTGCCGAAGCGGTGCCGCGGCGGCTGCAGCGGGTCCTCGGCCACCTCGGTCATCTTGATGATGCGCTGCTTGCCGCCATCTCCCTGTCCAGGCGTGTAGCGGATGTAGCTGGCGGCCTGCTTGCCGGTGGCGACGGCGACGTTTTTGGGCTGCGTCGCCTTGATCTTGCCCTGGGTGATCTTTTCGAGCGCGAGCCGGGTGCGCTCGGCGGTGCTCATGACCTCCTCCTCCGACGGCCTCTCGAAACCGCGCTCCTTGTCCTTGCCCTCACGCTGCGAGAGCGGCACCAGGTCCTTGAACGACGACTGGACAATCTGGCCGGGCCGCCGCCCTTGCTGGACGATGGCGTCGTACCGCACGGTGCCATCGGCGTCGACCTGGAGGGCCACCGTGTTGCCGCTGGTGCCGGCCTTTTTGCGGCCCATCTCGAGCGGGTATTGGGCGATGTGGCACTCGGGGTAGGAGCCTCCATCGCCAAAGTCGGCCTGGGCGCGGGGCTTCCAGCCGGTGCGCTTGCCGTACGGAGGGATGTGCGATGCCTTTGTGGCGAGGGCGGTAGAGGAGCTGGCTTCGGCGGCATCGTCGGTGCCCTCGTCGTTTTCGACTGTGACGTTCGAGTAGCGGGGCGCTGGGAGCGCGGCAGAGAGCGACGTCGTCGCCATGGCGGTTGAGAAGGTTGACCGCTCAAGTCGGCCAGGTTTTGGTCGTGGAGGTGCTCCAGGGAGGCTCAGGCGAGGCGAAAATCTGCGCTCTTCCGAGGTCGGGTTGAGTAGAGAGAGGTGGCAAAGGGCGCAGGCAAGGAAGAGTGGCGATGGCCGCGCGGATGGTGATGGTGGTGGTGGTGATGGTGGTGACGATGGTGGGACTGGTGGTGAGGGGCTGGTTGGAAGGCGTAGCGGGGATGCAGGCCTGCTGGACGGCCGCAGAAGTCGCCGCCCCACTGGCCCGATCGGTGGCTTGTTTGCCTCCCGATCCTCTGCGCGTCTGGGGCCGACGTGTCGATGGCGTTTTGCCTTGGCTGGCCCTGGATGGCTGCAGACGGCCCTGGCTGGTCGCTCGACTTGGCCTCACCGCCTCCACTGGAAGGGGCTGCTCGGTCTGGCTTGGCTGGCTTGGCCTGGCCGTCTGCTGTCGGCGTGGTTTCCGTCTCTCCTCATCACCCGTCGCCTCTATCCTTGCTCGTCCTTTGCGCCCCTCCCACGTCGCCGACGCCGCGGCAGTCTTCCGATGCATCAGCGCGGCTCGCCAACGCTTGGCTCTTGACGACGACGACGACCACCACCCGAATCCCCCCTTCCTTTGGTCGCTGCCCCTCTCGGCACCTCCGCCGGTCACCTCGTTCGGATCCAGCTGACAGCGTCGATCGGGAGCGGCCGAAGCCGCTCCGCCGGCTCTCTATCTGTCTTCTTACATCAGAGATAGGCCAGAGCATCCTCGCTGCGCCCTCTCGCTGATAACAAGCACCGGCATAACCTATCTCGACTTGGTCCCGCCCCACCCACCGACTCCCGCCACGACTCCATCGGCTTGACCGAGATCAACTCTCGTCACGCCGCCACACGACCGTGCTCGGCGCAACGCAGCACAGCCACGTCGCACCTCGCCCAGCGCTCAGCCGAGACCCGCGGTGCAGCATCACTGGCCGACCCGACCTCGCTCCCGACTGCGCTTCGACGACGACGAGGTGAGCGAAAGCGGCGTGTGCCGCTCCGAAAGCAGCGCCGCCGAGTCGCCCCTTAAAGCCCGTCGCCACCGCAGCCACTCCACCTACTCGATCGTCGAAGCTGCCGCTGGCTGACCCTCTGGTCCGCGCACGGCGCCGACGACGACGATGCAGAGGGCCAATGCCGCCTCGCGCGGCTACACGCTCAGCCACCAGCGTGTCGTCCTCGACCTCGGATTCGGCGGCACAATCGCCGGCTTCACCGAGCTCACCATCATCCCCACCGACCGAAACCTTCGCGTCGTACACCTCAACTGCCGCCAGGCCGTCATCCAGAGCATCTCGTGCGCCGGAATCGAGGCCGACTACTCTTACAACGACCACATCACCGGCGTCGGCCTCTCGGACAATCGCGACGTGCATCTCTACCCGGAGCTCAAGCGCAAGATCTTTGCCGCGGCCTCTGACGGCGTCACTGGCGAACTCAGCGTCCTGCTCCCGCCAGAGATCCACATCCAGCCCCAGAGCATCGGTGGAGGTCCGAGGGCTGGCAGCGCGGTTCCAGAAGATGCACCGACGCCAGGCGGATCCGGCTCGGGCGGCGGTCTCGAGTACACGCCCATCACGGTGCGCATCGAGTACTACCTCAAGGACCCCGCCGACGGCGTCCAGTTTGTCCGACCCACGGCCGACTCGCCCTACCGCGTGCCGCACCTCTTCACCGTCGCCTCGTGTCCGGACGCCGCCCGCTGCTGGATCCCGTGCGTCGACAGCCTCTGGGAGCGGTGCACCTGGGAGTTTGAGCTCGTCGTGCCCAAGTACCTCGCATCGGCCGACGGCGACAACGACGGCGACGGCAACGGCAACGAAGGCGGCGGGGAAGACGGGCTGGCCGTGCCAGATGTGGCCGGACTCGAGGACTCGCAGGTGGTCGTCGTGTGCACGGGCGACCTGATGGAGCAGGTGGCGCATCCCAACAACTCGTCCAAGACGGTCTTCTGCTTCACCCAGCCTGTTCCGACCTCGGTCCAGCACGTCGGCTTTGCTGCGGGCCCCTTCCAGATGATCCGCATCGACTCGATCGGCCACCAGGCCGGCGGCAGCGGTGCGCCGCAGCCCGCCACGGCCATCGAGGAGGCCGGCCAGCCAGAGATGCTCGCCTTCTGCCTGCCGGGCAGGGAGGACGAGCTGCGCAACTCGGTCGGCTTCACCAGGCAGGCCATGGACTTCTTCGCCCGCGGGTTTGGCTCCTACCCGTTCGGCTCGTTCCGCCTGGTCATGGTGGATGAGCCGCCGCAGGACTGCACGCCGCTGTCGATGCTGGCGATCTGCTCGAGCGACCTCCTCCACCCACCCTCGGTCATCGACCAGGCGCTCGAGAACCGCCAGATCCTCAGCCACGCCATCGCCTTCCAGTGGGTCGGCATCAACATCGTCCAGGCCACCTGGGCCGACACCTGGCTCATCAACGGCCTCGGCCTCTACATCACCGGCCTCTTTATCCGCAAGCTGCTCGGCAACAACGAGTACCGCTTCCGCCTCAAAAAGGACTGCGATCGCGTCTGCGCTTGGGACGTCGGCATGCCGCCGCTCTACATGGCCGGCGCCTGGGAGCCGCCGGACGCGGCCACGCTGCCCTTCATCAACCTCAAGGCGCCGCTGGTGCTCCACATCCTCGACCGGCGGCTCTGCAAGATGGGAGCGTCGCTCGGCCTCGGTCGTGTGATCCCAAAGGTCTTTCTCCAGGCCATGACGGGCGAGATGACCAACAACGCGCTCAGCACGCAGAACTTTCTGCGCGTCTGCCGCAAGGTCAGCGGCGCCGACCTGCGGCAGTTCACCGAGCAGTGGATCCGCGGCAGCGGGTGCCCGCGCTTCTTCTGCAGCGCCAACTTCAACCGCAAGAAGCTGCTCATCGAGATGCACATCCGCCAGGAGACGCCCGCCGCCCAATACGCCGCGGCGCGGCCCGAAGACGCGCTGGCCTCAAACCCGGTGCCCCTCTTCGAGGGCCAGCTGACCGTCCGGATCCACGAGGCCGACGGCACGCCCTACGAGCACGTGCTCGACGTAAAGGGCCCCGCCAAGCGCTACGAGGTGCCGTTCAACACCAAGTACAAGCGTGTCCGGAGGAACACGAAGCGCTTTCAGGCGCGTCAGGCTGCCGCAGCGGCCGCCGCGCAGGGCGACCAGGACGCCGCCGAGGCGATCGGGCTCATCGATCTCGGCTTTGGCCTCGGCATGTGGGAGGACGAGCGGGCGCGCGAGGAGTGGAGGGTGGCCGACTGGACCGAGGACGACGAGGAAAAGATGGCGTCGGCGCCGTACGAGTGGATCCGCATGGACGCCGACTTTGAGTGGCTCGCCTCGATCCACTTTGAGCAGCCAGACTACATGTGGGTCTCGCAGCTGCAGCGCGACCGCGACGTTGTGGCCCAGGTGGCGGCGGTCCACGCGCTGGCCCAGATGCCGTCGCTCGTCACCTGCAGCATGTTGACGAGGACGGTGCTGGTGTCCAAGTACTTTTACCGCGTCAGGGCCGAGGCCGCCCACGCCCTCGTCAGCTGCGCCATGCCGGAGCTCGACTACCTCGGCCTCTTCCACTTGCTCAAGCTCTTCCGCACCCAATGCTGCTACGACCCGCCGGACGACCCGGCCATCACCAACCCGCTCGACGTGCCGTGCATCCCGCGCGCCAACGACTTCAGCGACGCCTCCGAGTACTTTCTCCAGCGCGCCATCATCCACGCCATCAGCCGCGTCCGCAACCCAAAGGGGCGGTCGCCGCCGCAGGTGAAAAAGTTCCTCATCAACCTGCTGCGCTACAACGACAACTCGACCAATCGCTTCGTCGACGACTTCTACCTCGCCTCGATCATGGACGGCCTGGCGAGCGCGTTTGTGCCCGTCGACTCGGTCGGCGGCTTTGTGCCAGCCGACGAGGACGAAGACGCCAGGGACGATGACGCCCTCCTCGCCCACGCCGCGGCCGAGGTCGAGCGGCTGCAGGAGCTCGACAAGCTGGTGCCGTCGTACCACAACGTCATCACCCTCGGCGCCCTCGACTGGCAGGCCGCCATGATGCTGGCCAACCTCCGTCCGCGCGACCTCCAGCTCTTCTTCTTCTACACGCGCCAGGGCAACTTTGGCCCCGTCCGCATCGCCGCGCTCAACTACCTCCTGCTTCTCGGGAGCCTGGACCACAAGGTGGTGGCCCGGTACTGCTTTGCGCTGCTGCGGAGCGACGAGAGCCGGAGCGTCAAGCGGGCGCTGGCCCGGGCGCTGTGCGAGGGCCTCGCAGTGGCCATCAGCACGGGCGTCTTTGGCGGAGGCGGGATTCGCGGTCCGGAGGCGCTCCTGATCGAGGAGAATGGTGGCCAGATCAGTCAGTCGAACAAGGGGCGCGATGCCCAGCTCGAAGCTGCACTCAAGTCGCTGCGACGCGAGATTGGACGGTCCGCGGGCGTCCGCGAAGGATTCCTGGCCGCACTGCTGGCGCCGGGCCTCGACTCCGAGGCGCGATGGTCGATGCTTAAGCTGGCCGAGCTCCTCTTCCGGCCGGCCGAAGAGCGCGACCTGCCCCTCCAGCCGAAAGTCCAGCTGCGGGTGCGCATGCCGAGCCTGGCGACGCAGACTGCCGAGCAGCCGCTCGAGTCGCCCAGCGTCTCCAAGATCAAGCTCGTTAAGCAGCCGTCGATCATCGAAGGAGCGGCGGCGGCCGCGCCTGCGCCACCAGCTGCAACGGCGACGGCGACGCCGGCCAAACCATCGGCACCACGCGTCGCCTTCGAGACTCCCGAAGGCGCCGCCGCCGCTTCCGCCGGCCCGTCGGCCTCGAAGCCTCCGAAGCCGGTCAAGGCCAAGAAGCCGAAGCCACTGGCACCCGGCCAGGCCTCTGGCATGTCGTACGCCGATCTGACCGCGTGCCGCAACACGCTCAAGAAGCTGATGGACAACCGCTTCGCGTCCATCTTCCTCAAACCCGTCGATCCCGTTCGCGACCAGGCGACCAACTACTTTGACGTCATCAAGAACCCCATGGACCTGGGTTCCATTGCCAACAAGCTCGACAGCGGCCAGTATCGGGATCGCTACGACTTCAAGGCCGACTTTGAGCTCATGATCCGCAATGCGCGGACCTACACTCCCGATCCGAAGGCTTGGGCCCATCAGCAGGCCGTCGGGCTGGAGAAGGCCTTCAACCAGCTGTGGACGCGCATGGAAAAGACGCTCGAGCAGTCGGCGGCCAAGCAGCAGAGGGTGGCCAATGGCGTGTCGGGCACCAATGCGGCGGCCGCCAGCGATACTACGGTCAAGGCGACCGACTATGGCACGACGGCCGCCGATCAGGCCGGCAGCCCCGGCACGCACCCGGTCAGGGACCAGCCGGATCCGGTGCACGCACCGCCCGCTGCCGTCCCGGCGCCCGGGCGCCTGTCGGTCAAGGTCAAGCTCAAGGCCAAGCCGCCTTTGGCAAACGAGGCTCCACCGAAACCGGTGCTGAAGCCGACCGTGGCAGCCAGCCCCGCCGCCGAGTCGCCCGATCCCGCTCAGCCGAAGCCGAAGAAGCCGCTGATCAAGCTGAAGAAAAAGGAGAGCGAATCTTCGTCATCGTCGCCTGCGCCTTCGGCCGCAGCTCCCGTGCCAGCACCACAGGGCGAGGCATCGAGATCGGCTTCTGCCGTACCCCGCCAGAGCGTCGACGACGACATCCTCGACCTGCTGGGCGAGTCGCCCGAACCGGCAAGCAAGAAGGCGACGCCCGCGCCGGTTGTGAAGCTGAAGAAGGCGGACAAGGAATCGGGCTCGGCCCGCGCGGCCACGCCGAGCAAGAAGCCAAACAAGCCCGCCGGCGCCAGCCTGGCTGGTTCTCCTGCGCCTTTGGCTGCCACATCGGCGCTGAATGGGGGCGCCGCACCGCTGCCTCACGTGCCACCTCCGCCAAAGGCAGCCACGCCCTCTCCCAGCAAGCCGGGTGCCAAGGGCGCCGACTCGGACCCGGTCGCGGCGGCCGCGGCCTCTGGGCTGCCGCTGCAGGCGAAAAAGTGCAAGGCGCTGATCCAGACGCTGCGCAAGTCGCCCTTCTCGATCTTCTTCCTCTACCCCGTCGACCCGGTCCGCGACGGCGTGCCGACGTACCTCGACGAGATCAAGACGCCGATGGACCTCTCGACGATGGAGAAGAAGGTCAACCAGGGCGCGTACCGGACCATGGCCGACTTTGCCGCCGACATGCAGCTCATCTTTGCCAACTGCCGCCAGTTCAATCCGCCCACGACGGAGCCGTGCCTGCACGCCGACGAGCTCGAGAAGCTGTTCCGCAAGGAGTGGGCCAAGCTGCTGGTCAAGCGGCTCGAGTTTGGCGAGAAGCGCGCTCTGCAGGGCCTGCTCAACAGGGTCAAGGCCAACCCTGCGAGCATCCTGTTCCGCGAGCCCGTCGATCCGTGAGTCCGCGACCAGGCCAGGCCGGGTCGCATTCTTGTCCTGGGCCCCCTTCTGATCGCCCTCGCCCCTTTCGCTGACACCGCCCGCGTCCACACATCGCCTGCGCCATCTGCGCGGGTCACCTGCGATCATCACGACAGGGTGGCGCTGGGAATTCCGACCTATTTTGACGTGATCCCGCGCCGCGACGCGCGCGACCTGTCGCTGATCGAGTCCAAGCTCAAGGGGGACAAGTACGACTCGATTGACGCGTTCGACGCCGACGTGCGGCTGATGCTGCGCAACTGCTACACGTTCAACGCCGCCGACCAGGGCATCGTCGACCTCACAAAGACGTTCGAGTCCATCTACCGCAAGGAGATCAACGGCGTCAAGGCTTCGTGTGGCCATTCCACCGGCGGCGGTGGTGGTGGTGGGTCGGGTCAGAAGAGGAAGGAGGCCGTTCCCGGTTCAGAGGGTGGTGGCGGCGGTGGTGCGGCGGGGGGAAGCAGTAGTAAAAAGACCAAGTTGGCGTGACGCCCCCTCTCTCGGTGGCACGCTTGCAGAGCGCGGCCGAGGGAGGGAGGCCGTGTGCCTTCGCCCCTCTTCGTCATCGTCTTGTCGTTGTTTCGTCGTTCATCGCTCCTTGATTTGCATTATCGATCCCTCTACCTCTATAGCCATTACTCACCCCTCGCTGGCCTGGAGGTGTAGGCGGGCGGGCGTGCGTGCGTGCGTGCATCGATGGAGTTCGGTGCGGGGGGACGGCGATTTGGCCCTCGTCCCATTTTTGCGTCATCCGCGCCAATTTTGAAGTCGATGGAGGCAAGCCGAGGGGGGAAGGGAGGAAGAACGACGTAAGAGAGGGTACAAGTACATGCATGATGGATTCTCGGAGAGGGAGAGGGGGGGGGGTGGGGGGATGGAAAGACCGTAGAAAGCGCGGCGGGGGGGGGGGGCGGGGGTATAGAGAGGGGGAAACGCAGAACGGTCACGACGCGCACACCTCCAACCTCGCTCGACTCTGCAACCTTACAGCCTGCAAGGAGGGGGGAGGAGGGAGGCGGTTCATTCCGCCAACGACGTCGAAGGTGCAGGTGTCGGGTGGGTGAATGCTGTTGATCTATCCATCGATACCCTTCCCCCACCACCCGCACCGGCCGCAGAGAGGGAAGAAAAGGAAGAAGGTGTCGCTGCTCTCCTCCCCGTCGTCGATCCCTGCTGCTGCTGCGCAGGAGGAGGAGGTGGTGGAGCGGTGGATTCAATACCTTCTTCCTGCCCCTGCCCCTGCCCCTGCCCCTGCCCGTGCTGTTGGTGTTGTTGCTGCTGTTGGGTGCCTTTGCTCTTTCGTCGCATGATTCCGCCCAATCCCGCACTCAACCCCCCACCCCCACCAGTCGCAGCCAGCATCGAATGGGTACCTTCTTCCACCGTCCCCATGCCCACTTGCCACGATGCTGAACTGCTAGATGCCGATGCTTGCCCCGCGATCGTGTTCAATGCCGCGTGGTGGCCCGATGGTATACCGTTGCCCACCCCACCACCGCCACCGCCACCACCCCCGCCGAGGTTGGAAAAGAGTTGTTTGCGCTGCGCCACGGTGCCCTGCATGCCCGTGTGCAGCGAGGCGGAGCTAAACTTGCGCGACGGCTTCGGCGGCGTCGGACCCATGACACTACCACCGCCGCCCCCTGCCCCGCTGCCGCTGCCGCTACCGCCACCCGCCTGGCTCTGCGACAGGCTGAAGGGCAGCGACGACACCGAGCCGTACTCGGATGGCAGGCCGCCGTGCGATGACGACGACATCGACGCGGCGTAGGGCGGCGAGGCGGGGCCGGACCCGCCCGGATGGTGGATGAAGGCCGAGTTGGCGCTCGGAGGCAGCCCGAGCTCCTTCATGAGCGGGTCGAGCGACGAGAGCTCGTCCTTGATCAGCTGGCGCGCCAGCGTGTCGATCTCCTTGACCGTCTGCTGGAGCACCTTCTTGACCTTGGCGTCGGCCTTGATCAGCAGGTCCTGGGTCACGGCGTTGAGCTGCACGGGCTTGTCGGCGCCGCTGCTAGCGTCGTTGGGCGGCGGGCTGAGATTGAAGCCGTTCCAGGCCGGGCCGTCGGCGGTGCTGATGCTGGCGCTGCGGTCGCGGTCGGTGCCCGTAGGACCAAAGGGCGGCGACGAGAGCATCGTGGCGCCACCGACGCTGCTGATGCTCGACGCGGCGCCCGACATGGAGCCGAAGCTGGCGTCTGCGCCTTGGAAGTGCTGGGGCAGGCCGACGGCGGCCACGCCCCCCGAAACCGGGCTCGACGTGAGAGAGATGAGCTTGTGGTAGATTTCGCTGAGGATGTCGCAGAGCGTGAAAAACGTCTGGAAGAAGTCGAGCTGGAAGGGCTGCAGAGCGGCAAGTGGGCGGCGGCGAGTGACGCGGCGTTAGCTCTGGGAGCGTCGGCCATCGAACAGCTGGCGGGGCGGGACTCGACTCACGATATTCGGCGCGACGAGGTACGAGTAGTCCCTGTCACCTGCGATGGAGCTCCCGGCTGCGACTGGTCCCATGGACATGGATAGGCCTGCGCCCATGCCGGCGGAGCCCGAGGAGCCTTCGAGGGAGCTGAAATCGGCGATGGCCTGGTTGGCGGCGGAGCGCTTTAGGGTCTTTGAGGACGACTTGAAGAAGTTTTTCATCTTTGGCTTTGCGGTGCCGTAGGCGGTGGCTGCGCCGCCTCTGCCGACGAGGTTTGCGATGGCGTCGTCCGGGTAGGTGTCTAGCTCGTTTACGAGGTTGATGATGGCGCGCGCCATGTCTGCGGGGGTGTTGAGTTCGAGGATGGAGGCGAGGCTGAGTCCGAGGAGGGTGAATCGGATGGTGCGCTTCCTCATGCGATCGTGTTGGAAGGCGGCGGCGATGTCGTGGCGCGACATGGTGACGGTGTCGAACCAGGCCTGGTTTCCGTCGAGGGTGCGTTTGAGGTAGGTGAAGCTGTGGAGGCGCTTGTGTAGCTGGTCGCGGAGCGCCTCGTTGGACGAGGTGACGGATGCGGGCTGGTTGACCAGGGTGGCCGCCGAGATGGTGGTGGCGCTGGATGCGATAGAGGGGGCCAGGGTGGACGAGGCGGCAATGGATGCGCGGTCAAAGGTCGAGGCGGAGGTGGCCGAGGGGGCCGCCGCGGCTGTGGCTGCGGCTGCTGGCGGTGTGGTGGCCATGTTGGATGGTGTGCGGATGTGAGGGCGTCGAGCGCCGGCTTGGCATCCTCGGTCGTGGTCGTGGACGTGGGTGGTGGTGGTGGTGGTGGTGGAAGAGGGTGAGCAAGCATGCAGGGCCTGGCCGGAGGGGCAACGAGGTGCAGGCCAAGCTGGACCGTGCTCTCTGGCTGGCCTGGCTGGTTTGGCTGCCTGGACGCAGCGTCCCTGGGCCGTGCGTCGGGCTTGGTCCCGCCCG